CCAGGTCGAGGCTGCGGTGGCCGGGAGCGGTCACTGCACTCCAGTCTGGGCGACAGAGTGAGACTCCAACTCAAAAAAAAAATAAAATAAAATAAATGGTTAGACTCTTTAAGAGTTCCTGTTAATTAATTTTCAGTGTAATGGAAAGGCTGTGGATTTTTGAGCTAACTAAATTAAAAAACCTTGAGTTACAACATCAGTTTCTCCTTTTACTAACTGTCCAACTTTAAACAATAACTATAGGTGCTAAAATTAATTGACTATGTGCTTTGTAAGTGCCACATGCTGTGAAAAGTGCTTTAGGTGGTTACCTGATTAATTTAAATTCTAATTCTGGCTCTGCTACTTGAGTAGCTGTGTAACTTTGCGGAAAGTTACCGAATACTTCTAAGCTTTGATTAGATAAATTGGGATGGGTAACAGTGGTAAGCTGGTTGGGAGGAAGAAATGAGATCTACAAGACAAGGAACATGGGACTTGCACATAGTGTTTAATGAATCTTAGTGACAATAATATTATGTGACAGGTCTTCTGCCAGTAGCTGGAGACTGGAGGCCTCCAAGTCACAGTTCCTGCCCTTCCCCATTGTCAGGTGTCCATAGACTAGTGGGGGAGCAGAGAGCGGAGATAAAGGAGTGACTGAGCCCAAAGGAAGAAGCAATTCATTTGTCTTTTTACATCAAGAGGAACCAAAACCAATTTTCCTAGTTTAGTAGATGTTCATTGATAAGATACGAGGAATGACCCAAAAACTTGCAGAATTTACTTGTAAAAACTATCTATTTATTCTTACATGTTTAACCTTCAGTCACCTTGAAAGTACTCTTCATTTGATGCAATATTATCACAATGCTTTTTCTGTTGCTCAGTTTTTGAACTCATCCATTTTGATGCCTTTTCTTTTTGTGAGTTAGAGTCTCGCTCTGTCGCCCAGGCTGGAGTGCAGTGGTACACTCTTGGCCACTGTAGCCTCGGCCTACTGGGCTCAGGTGACCCTTCCACCTCAGCCTTCCAAGAAGCTGGAACTATAGGCACACGCCACCACACCTGGTTCATTTTTTGATTTATTGTGGAGATGAGGTCTCGCCATAGTCTGGTCTCGAACCTGTGGGCTCAGGCAATCCTCTTACCTCGGCCTCCCAAAGTGCTGAGATTGTAGGTATGAGCCACCATGCCCTGCCCATTTTTATGCCTTTTAGTGTTTCTGTTGTTGTTTAACCTCTTCCACATGGGCAAAACGTTGCCCTTTGAAGACTTTTTTTTAAATCTGGGAAATAAACAAAAAAAGTTGCTCAAGGGGAGATCAGATGAATAGGGAGGGTAGGGCATGAGGGTCATGCAATATTTGAACTGTTGAATACTCAGTGCAGTATACTTGGTACTTAGTACATTAAGTACTCAATAAATGTTTGTAGTGTGTCATTATTATTATCAATATTATTTTTTTTAGTTGGACTCTTATTCTATCACCCAGGCTGGAGTGCAGTGGCATGCTCATGGCCACCGCAGCCTCAACCTCTTGGGTTTAGGCGATCCTTCCACCTCAACCTTCCAAGTAGCTGGAACTACAAGCATGTGCCACCACGCCTGGCTAATCTTTTAATTTATTGTAGAGACAAGTTCTTGCCAAGTTGCCCAGGCTGGTGTCAAACCCTTTGGCTCAGGTGATCCTCTTGCCTTCACCTTCCAAAGTGCTAGGATTACAGGTGTGAGCCACGACACCGGGCTTATATTTATTTTATTTTAAGGATGGGTATACAATTCAGGATTAGTTAGATAAATGGTCTTCGTACAGGTAAAGTTTGGGCCTCCCTCTGAAACCATATCAATAATTTTATTAAGAGTGATAATATTTGCAAAGCTTTCATTTATACCCTTTTACCTCCAGACAGGGGACTGAGCACCCAAGTTTGTTGAAAGAATGGATGCTGAACATGACTGATTGGATAATGAATGAATACTGAGCATCGCACTAGGTCCACTGGTGGGTACAGCGATAGATCAAAAAGGTAGAAAAGAAACCAGGTTTCCCTCTGCTTTTCTTTCTGGGGTAGCACCTAGGTGGTTTCTTCTTTTTTCTTTTCTTTTCTCTTCTCTTCTTTTTTGTTTTCTTTTCTTTTCAAGTCAGGCTCACCCAGGCTGTCACCCAGGCTGGAGAGCAGTGGTTCACTGCAGCCTCGATCTCCTGGGCTCAGACGATCCTTCTGCCTCAACCTTCTGAGTAGCTGGGACTACAGGCATGCACCACCACGCCTGGTTAATATTTATTTATTTATTTATTTTTAGAGATGAGTTCTCACTATGTTGCCAGATATGAGCTACCATGTCAGGTTGCTAGGTGGTTTCTGAATTTCTTTCTTTTTTTTTTTTGAGTTGGAGTCTTGCTGTCACTCAGACTGGAGTGCAGTGGCCGTTCCCAGCCACCACAGCCTTGACCTGCCGGGCTCCGGCGATCCTTCCACCTCAACCTTCCAAGTAGCTGGAACTACAGGCACGCGCTACCACACCCGGCTAATATTTTTGATTTATTTTAGAGATGAGGTCTCGCCAAGTTGCCCAGGTGGGTCTCGAACCCGCGGGCTCAGGTGGTCCACTCACCTCGGCCTCCCAAAGCGTGGGATTACAGGCTGAGCCACTGAGCCCGGCCGGTTTCTTAA